AAGTGCTATAGTATATTAGGATTTGCTCAGTTAAATGCTTCATGGCATCCAGACAATGGCTTATTTATTAACACTTCTGCCAACAATTGACAAAGCAAATAGAAGCTCAATTAAGGTGAATAAATTAGGATTAACATAGAAATGCAGCGCATTTTAATTTTAATTAAATGTGTTTATTATTTATTTCCAGAGTCACTGCAGGAGGTAAGCAGGGAGAATCGGACACTTCACCTCTTCCTTACAGGATGACACAGACTAGAGGGGAGTTACACAGATAGAGGTCTGTGTAATCAAAATAGCTGCTGGGTGACACATATTGTGCACTTGCAGATTTTATGACACACTGATATGGTTGTCATTAGCCCTGATAGAAATTCACAGAAAATCCTCATCCCACAGCCTGATTTTAAGCACATTTACGATCCCTGCAATGCGACAGAGGGAGTCGAATCAACGCAGCCCTTCCATTTCATTCTTTTAAAGTTACGCTTGGTGAGGTTTTATGAGCTCCTACACAAATCATATTATACGAGTTGCCACCAAGTCATTTCTTATATATTACTGCACCTCATCATGTCCCCACAAGGAAAGAAGGCAAGAAATACAGCAAGGACCCCCACACAGAGTGCCACATTAGTAAATGGCATAGAGACAGCAGAAGGGTGACACACGTCATGTCATCGATGTCATGGCAGTGCGTCCCGCTGTCTTGTACGGTATAATCTAACCAGCCTTGGTGTTAGACAGGCTTTTTCTGCCATGGCAATATGGCTTCTTGGAATGGAGGTGCAATGACAAGACAGACTAAATCAGGGACATGTTGCAGGCAGACAGACATAATCAGACACACGCTCTCCCCCCACACACACTTATATCTATCTCACACTAAATTATGCACCTCTGTTGAATGGGCTTCTTGAAAGTCTGAGGCCTATTATGTGATTTTATGGCAAATTTTTCATATATTTGCAGATACATGGTCAGAGGTAATTGGTATGAAATCACACTAAGATATTTTGCACTGTAGCTACAATAAAGTGTGATGGCAGATATGTTAAAAGATTTCAGAAAAATTTGGAAAACATAATTTGAATTCATTTAATTTTATTACCATGGTTCCCTTTAAGAGTCGGGTTAAACATACATCTAAAATGATAAAGTAAAGAGAAGATTAAGGGCAATGTCCTACTAAATTCAGGCAAATAAATGTTAATGAAATATTTCTGAAACTTTACAAATGCATTACCATATAATGTACAATAAGTAAAAGCCCAAGAATGGATTTTTGCCTTGAAACATGAGACAAGGCTCTGTTTGCTTTACCTTTACAAAGTAAAACCCAGACTGGCATCCTGTAATTTTGCCAGTAAGACAGTGGTATTAAAGCTGGATAGACAGGCACCAGAAAGAAGCATTCAAACCCTCTGTGCTGCAAACTCCCCAGGGAGCAGAGAAGAGTGACATTTTACTGAAATGACCTGAGCATAGCTGATCACTACTGCAGAAGAAATCCTGTCAGTCACGTCAACAGTAATAAATAGTTAAGGACCCACCCTGAATGGAGGTGATATCCTCTCGGTTTAGACCAATTTAGGATAACTGTCTTTTTTGTTATTATATAGCAGTAGTTTCTGAAGTGTTAATAGCAAATCCAAATTATGACTTTCACCATAGCTGTCTTACTACAAAAAAAAAAACTAGTAAATGTGCTTTAAACAAGCACTTAGAATCTGCGGTAAAAGTCCATCTGGAGCTAAGTGTTTCAGTGGAGGTAGGTTGGTTATTGCATAATTACATAATGCATAACCCCTTGTTGTGTGTGAGCCCCCCTCCACACCTGAACTTAGTAGGAGTAAAACTGTAGCCTCAGCAGCACTTTGCTTTGAGTGGTATAAATACGCATATGTTCATTGTCTTCTTGGAAAGATACAAGCGTGAATCAGCTCTCCATTAGACTTTCATGAGGGAGCAGAAAGACAACCCACAGCTTTTATTTCCTTTACATTATCTCTCTGATCACAGAGGTTGAAGGGTTCACTGCAGACAATGATATATGGCACATACCCACACAACTACATTATCATAAAGAAGAGCCCTACAGTTACTTATGAAAAAGAAAAGGAGTTTGGTGCTTGAAGCCAGACAAAGATTGAAGCCCTGAGGTATTGTAAACACCTCGATGGAGATGCTGCTTGAATGGAGCCTATTGGAGAATTGGGGTAAATTAGGTATTAATTCTGTGCAATGAGACTTGCATAGCAAGTCACGTTGACAGCGGCTGGTGATGAAATTAACAAAATAATGAGGTTTTGACAAAGAGAAAGGAAAGAATGGGGAAAAACTCTATTGAAGGAACAGATGGAGAAAACTGAGACAGACTGATAGGAGGAAAGAAAGAAAGGAAAATAGATGTAATTTTAGAGGAGAAGGCAAAGTGGGTGTGGAAAATGAGAAGGTAAATACAGTGAGAGAAAGGCCAGACAGGGAGTCATAAAGTGCATTTAAAAACACATCTCTCTAGTAACCAACTGGTAATTTCACCAGCTGGAGAGCAAGGAAGAGGAGAAGAAGGGAAGAGAGGGGGCAAACTGGCCGACTGTTTACCAGCATCACCAGAAACAGGCTGGTTATCAAAAGAGAGAACAATGGTTAGCATTAACGTAAAAAACATTTTAAACAATGATTAATATCAATATTTAAATAATGAACTCAGAAGTTGTTTGGAATCAAAAAAGAGCACGAGGACAATCTTAGACTTGTAGATGCAAAAAGAAAAACCAAGGGGCACTCACACTCATTGCTTTTCTTTAAACACAAGCAAAAAACAGGTTTTGCTCCCCAGGGCTCTATAATTCTGTGATTGGTCTGTAGTTTTACCCTGCTGAGGGAGTGATTCCATCCCTTCCTTTTACTGTGAACAGCTTCCAGAGTGCTCTGAGCCTCGCTGTGTAAAATTGCAAGCAGTTACAGCTTACCTTTACTACAGTAGGTAGGTGATAATGTCGGCAGAGTAAAGACAAAAGGTGAGAGCTAACACGGAACATAGAGGTCATTTTTCCTGTATCTGTACATGTTTCAAATACCGTACAGAGCTGCAGCACTTTCCTACTATGTGCAATTACCCGTTAGCTGTGATTGCACACACTACACTGATTACTAAGAGTATGTGTGTGCAAATGTTCAAGTGTTTTGCTGCTGTTGTTCTTTCAGCATTGAGGCTGTGCTACCGCAGCCATTATTTTTTTCTAATGTACTGTAACAAACAGCCATTCTCGATTACTGTAAGTCTCTTTTCTCCTCCCCTGTGGCGCTGTGTTTGTGTCCCTGAAACACACACCGCACATGTGAGACACAGATCATGTAATACACCATGAAGGCATGGGTAAACTCAGTGCAACAGACAGCAACAGACCCTGATGAGGGTTTCATGCCGAAATGCGTGGTCTTCTCATTAAAGTTGCTCAAAATGCTGCAAGTATTGCTGGACCTTTTGCTTTCCGGTTAGTTTTTTCCTTATCTATCCACCTTGACAGTGGGTGAAGTTCTGCCAGAACTTTCTACCGTATCTAAACTCAGTGCAACATCAGCTTAAGGTTTATAAAGGTCTATAATATGTCTATGGGAAATTTAGATATGTTACTCCTGACATGCATAAAACAGGGCATTACATCTGGAGTTTGTGAGATACTGTTTCATATGCTCTGATGGTGAGAGAAACATTTTCATTTACACTCAGATTTATGACAGTTTCTATTAACCAGGAGTATTTAAGGCCAGACATGAGGCAGTATTCCTTAACTCTCAATTTCCCTTTGCAAAGCTGGAGGAAAGGCAGTGCAGGTAATGCTCTGCTCCTCACTGCCCCTTCCCTCCCTCTATCTCCCCTCCTTTTCCCTCGCTCCCTCTGTCTTTCCTGACAAGACTGCAGATAAAGCAGTAGCAAACAACAATAAGACTGCAGTCTCGTGCAGCTCACAGTGTCACCAGAGGCCAAGGAGGAGCCCTCCCTGGGACACAACTAGGAGCAGATAAATAACACTGGATGCTTGACTCCTTGGACACTGTGCAGACCGGAGAATTAATCACAGATGAAGGAGCCGCTCCTTGACTCCTATAGACCAGCTGAGGCCTGCTCACAGGAGCTGCTCCTTAGAGGTTCTGGCCAACAGCATGCACTACATTCATTCACATGCACATACCAACACTGTCAACGCCCCACAAACACACATCAACACACATATACATGCACAGCGGTAACAGTGAGCACAGCAGCATTAGTCTCGCTGCATGACTGTCCTTGTGAATGATGGCAGCAGCCTACTGCCTCAGGTGAGACTTATCTGGGCACTTTACAAACTCTGCAGTGCTGTAATGTGACACCAACATGGCTAATAACATGCAATTCACCTCCTTCATAACAATTCACCATTTATTTCTTTGACTTTCTCACTTTGACTCTCTCCCGCATTCATTTAATTGCTCCCCTGCAATCTTTTCACTGCTCTTGTTCTCTTTTTGCTCTCTTGTTTCCTCTTTGCTGCTTTCTAAGTTGCTCTCTTTCTTTTTCTCTCTCCCTCTTTCTCTTCTGTGATTTCTGTTATAGATACAGTACAGGAAATCTATTCCACAGGGGAACCCTTAAGGCAACATGCAGAGAAATAAATGCCAAGACTAACACGCAAGATGCATATAGATATACGGTGCTTTAGATGAACTGTGTGCAGCGCACATGCTGCTGCAGAGGACTTATGGGGATTATGCCTGTAACAAAGCATCTGCACTGTAAATGCCAGTGTAAGAAATATACATAATGCACAGGAAGAGAAGTAAAAACAAGTGAAATTTAAGGCCAGGGGAGTGAAACATTGTGTTAAATCAGAGGCGTGTGGTGTGCAGTGACAATGTATCATTAATGCAATCTCCCAAGGCTGGTAGACTAAAGAAATTACTGGTTTATGTTAAGGCCACCTACTTTATTTAATCATATATTATTTATCCTTGCATACATTTCAGTGATTCATAGCAGGGATTCCTCTCAATATCTGGACCGCCAGTTGAGATCCTGCAATGCAAATTCATATCATTTTATCAGCAAGAACCTTTAAAGCAGTTGAAAGCGTGAAACTGTCTAAAAGGAGAAAGACCTACTTATGGACCCAAACTAGAATTCAATGCACCTGACAGAAAAGGTGTGTCCCTATAATTACTGATAAATAAACATGAGAAGAAGGGAAATAGTAAAAGCAAGCATCAGTTTGGTGAACCCAGTCCTGAGCAATGTTTTAGTGAGACAATGTTGGCTCCCGTTCAACTAGCCCCTGCATGCCAGTGTTCGCCTCGCTGTCCAGGGAGGGTCCAGTTCTATCAGTGGTGTGGCTGAGCTAATCCAGCTAATCCTGCCTCTCCCCATAGACACCTCGCATGTCTCTTGGCTCCCCTCATCTGATTCAAAGTTACAAGAGCAAAAGCCTCCCGTCTTGTCCATGTTTCTCTTTTGCACTACTTCACACACAAGTTGGCATGTCCAAAAATATCCTGTTCCCTAATCCGAGTGGAGGTGTTGTCTTCCAACGTGGAATGGTGAAATATGGAATTTGGTCTGTTACCCACCTCCATCCTGCAGGGATCAGACTTGTGTGATGAGTAATCTAGACCAAACAGAGAGGAGATTCCCTGCTACAGCACAGCACAGTTAGAAATTCAAACTGAAACAATAACATAATGGCAGTGATACTATTATACAGTATGTGTCATGTATATGCTACATATTGTCAACAGTCTGACATTGTTTTTCCTCTGGAAAATAAAGAAAGAAAAACTCTCTTTGAATACTATCTACGGAGGCGTCTGATTGCTGATTCGAGACTACACAAAGAAAAATGTTTTTGAATAAATTAATACCACAGAAATGTCATGTCAGCCACTGGAGTAATTGCTTGCCTGCTTGTAGTTATTTGGTTCACCCTTTTTTTCCAGATCAATGCTTACAAATATAGATCAGGAAAACCTACATTTGCAGTCAATTTTGACAGACAAATTTAATGAGGAGCATTCAGTCATCATTCAAAGATCAAAGAGCAAACTCTAATTTTATTCAAACCTTGAAAACTGTAAATCCAATCAATAACATGTCGCTGTATTGTGGTTTCAGTGTTTGCATATATTACCGTCAGTCTGTGAACTTTAAGAGGGTCTGTGTGCGTGTGGATGCTTTTAAAAAGGTACATTTGTGAGTGTGTTTGCTGTGTATGTGTGGGCTTGTGAGGGACAGTGTGTGGGGCTGCGTGTTCTGCATGAGATGTCATTCAAACTGCACACTGTGAGGGCTGTACAGCTGCGATAAGCATAAAGATCTGATTTCACTTCTCAGCGTGCCTACCGCTTCAGCTAATTTTCATAATTAATTAAAAAGCCGGTAAACATTACATAATGCGACTGATAAGGTTCCCTGTTGTTCTTCTTGCTTCCCATTAACTGTGAATTATCAGTGCGTGATGCATTTTCCCTCTGTACTTCACTACTCAAGTTCAGCGGAGTGATAGTTAAGACTTAATGTTTGGAGCCGCAGAATGTCACAGTGTGGCCCCTGTCGATCTGTCAGTCAGTGTGATGAGGCTAAAGTCAGCACCAAAGAATTGAGATGATGTTTAATAGTTGGTAAATGTACACTCATGAGCCATGTTATGCACACAGACCCATTTTGTTTTCAATCAGCAGCAGCTTAATGTTCCTTAACATTAACTTGTAAAGGCTTAAAACGTAATATTCTCTCAAGACAAAGAGAAATATATTCACAACTCATGTTGTGTTATTCTCAGCTTTCTTCACATCTTCTCATTAACAAGGAGGAGGCTTCTGCCCTGTTACACCATGTGCATTTATTGTCAGTCTACAGATGGATAGAAAAAAATAGGAGTTTTTTTTTAACATATATATGTATTATTTTAAATTTGCCTTTTTTAAAAACTGAAGTTACTCCCACTATGATCTAGGATGTCATTTACAAGCCACGACAGCAGCTTCATATTGAGCCTCTAACAAACCACCAACAAAATGAATGAAATAACAAACAATTCATAATAAGTGACATGCAATCTAAGCAAAAGGAAGCAGGAGAGCAGAAAAGACAGGGGGGAAGAGGGATGTGAGAGACGTTTCAAAATGATGTGCAAGCAGCTGCCTGCTGTGAACAAGCCCTCTCAGCACCCAGGTCCTCATTGGTTAGGATGACTTAGAGTGGCGCTATGGGCCCTTCACTCTACTCCACCACCATCCTCCATCTCCCTATTAATCTTTCACTCATATTCCTTCTCTTTCTTCCCCTTCCTCCCACTTCTCCCTCCTTTTTTAATTTGCTTCCTCTTCTGAGTCTTTTCTCCTCACACAACACTCCTCTTTCCTCTCCTCGTCAGCCAAGCATCCTCTTCACATTTTCCCTTTCCTCTCTGTATCTGTCTCTCTCTCTCTCTCTGTGGGTGTCATTACACTGGATACTAATCTAGATTGCTCTATCGCTTGTCACACTTGTGTACAGGTCTGCATATTTATATCTCACACTTACCACTCTCGCTGTAACTGAATCTTCCTCTCTCTAGCCCCCACACGCTGCTGTAGCTGTCAGCATCACCCACCCATAGCAGCTGCAGTGTTTGCTTTGGGCTTTGGGTGAATAAGCAGGTCTCCTGTTGTTTGTCCGTCTACTCGCTGCCCTGTGTGTGGAGTGTTGCTGTCAGGATTACAGCCCTGTAATGAAGAGCAGAGGGAGAGACACGTAGCTGAAGGTTGGGTTAGAACAGTACTCTAGTGGATTAATGCGGCACATAAGTGTTTGGTTGCAACAGTGCATGATCTGACAAACTCATTCCCAAGGAAATACTCTGTGGGTTGCTGCGAAGCCATCAATGAGCACAGTGAGCCTGAGTGAGATTGGCACATCAGAAAAACAAATCAGTGCCAAAGAACAAAATCTGAATGTGTACATGTTGATATGGGTTTTTATTTACACTATAGTAAGCTGTGCAGCGTCACGCAGTCCAGAAGAATATTTGATATTCTGCAGCATGTCCTCTAATTGTTTATAGGCCATATGCTCATAATACTATTTCATTCATTAACAGGAATCCCTACAGAGAAAAAAATTAGGGAAATAAAATGTGCAGATTCCTCCTAGATGTCCCTCACATATACCTAGAGGCGACAGAAAAGATGGCAATGAGCATCGAAAAACTCCAGAGCCCCTGAAATCAGGTGTAACCCTAATAAATATGGAGTCACACAGCGCACAATAACTGTCCACTTTAATTGCACATTTTCCCACAGTAATTGACGGAATAATTAAGACCCAGAGGAGACTCTGAAACCATCTGTGCAGGTAAAGAGAGAATGTCCAAGAGGGTTATAGAGAAGTGGAGAGAAAGAGTAGGACCAGGAGAGAAATGAAGAGGAGGAGTGTGTACGAGAGCGACAGATCGAGGCAGAGGGCAGGACTAATGAGAGAACAAGAGTGTAAATGTGAGCAAAGGAGATGGAGACAAAAGAGGAGTGGAGGAGATGAACTCATTAGTTTCAGTGTTATTCACACTGGAGAAGCCGCTCTGCCAAATCTGACTTCTGCCAAACAGATTTACCCAAGATACCAAAAGCTGAGTAAAGTTTCCCTGTAGGTGTCTACCTGACTGTATCCGTGTGTGCATGAGTTTACTGATGTACAATAAGCTTGTCTGTGTAGCATTTGTGTACATATACAATATGTGTGTATGCATTAGAGGTACAGTTACTTATCACAGTGTCAATTCAATTTAGAGGACAAACACAGGGACACAGAAGACGGCAAGGCAGCACAAAACAGAGATATGACAAAAGTAAAGGAAAAAAAGAAAAAAAACATGTCACCATTACTCTTCTGGTGCTTCTTAGTCCATGCAAACATTTATTTTTGTTTATCATAGATACACAAGGGCCATCTGGGCGCTTGTGTGCCACAGCTACAGCAGCTAGCAGCACCGCCAGTCTCTCTTTGTGCAGGCTAGTATAACAATTTGTGGCATGTCACAGCAGACATGCATAACATTGTGACTGGCTGAGAAAAAGATTAAATAGATTTGTTTTAGTCTCTGTCATGCTATGATGTTTGTTGTCTGTTTTGTTTTTGCTCCTGGGCTGACCAGTCTGTGCATGTGTGGCTACGTTCATACTAATGTTTGAGACTGACAAGCTATTTGCTAATGAGAGCGAATTTCAATTTATGGTGCACAACAGCACAGGAAGAAGTGAACACTGCATGTGTGTGAACAGGTAAATGGTGTTAACCCCTTTAGCAAATGAATAAAGCCTTAGTTGTACAGTAATTAAAGTATGTAACCATGGTGATGTTTAGTACTGACAAAAGATGAGGACTTCAGCAGCTCTGGAGAGTATTTACTCCTCACTTAAGTCCCCCAAAAATTACAGGTATGTGTTTATCCAATATGACACCAATAAAACATTTTCCAATTAATTTAACATTTTCATGTGTAAAATCTGCAGCAGCAAACTACAGTGATTTAATTTAAAATGTGAGAGTGATATTTGTCTTATCTCCAAGTCACCAGTGTCTGAAGCTGCTGTCTGTCTAGTAGAAATCTAATAAGCTTTGCTTGTATCAAGTCTTCAGACATGCAATTTTCAGGCATTCTAAACCTAACATTTATCCAGCTTCTCATGGAACATAATGATGAAAATAGGCTCATGCAATTTATGCCCCCTTTTTCATGATCAAAATCATGCTATTGACAAATAATCCAATTTTCGGAGCAGGAACCATTATTTGAGTCCGCAGCACATAATCTGCATTTCAGTTTAATAAGACCATATTGCACTATATCCTCTCTATCTTTGCCTCCTGGTTTCTCCAATCCTGTTTGCCAGGTCTAGGAGAGAAGACATTAACCCATAATAAAGGCAGGAAGATGAAATCAACAGGGGAGGAAACACATTATAAAAGGATGGATGGGGAGGTAGTCAACAGTCCTCAGCTCGCACAACATCAGGAATCCCCAGGAGGAAAAGAAGAGGAAGTGACCCAGGTCCATGGAGGCCTGTAGGGAGGGGCAGAATACATTACTGTCAGCGACAGCAAAGTTCCCTAGACTCACTGGGCTAGAAAGTAGTGCTGAGAGCGAGGGGGATGCAGAACATAACCAGTTCTATGGAACTACAAAGTGTTCTAGTTGTTGTGTGGCTGCGAATGATGTAGAGGATGGGCTTTGGTGGTGTATGCACGTGTTAGTGTGTGTGTGCGTGTGTGTGTGTGTGTGTGTGTGCTGGTGTGGGGGGTTGGAGTAGAGCCACATACTAGAGACTCACAGTAATTGATAATAACAAATGTGATCTCACTGAGGAATGAATGACTGAATATTTCTCATTTAGAGTGTCTACCTCGTTTCTGAAGCAAGATACTGATGCCAAATTGAGCAACAGTGTGACATTGACAGAGATGTTACACCTCTGTGTCCTTGGGCAGTAATTACAGCCTGTACAAGGTGTGGTGGCGCTCTTCGTAAAGTATCACTAATAGCACTGGAAACATGTTTATTTATTTTCTTGCTAACGCTCTCTCTGCAAGAACGTGAGTGCATTTCTGAAAAATTGTAGCCTACTCCAGTGTTGTAGCATTGCACTCCTTTACCACTGTCAGATTCATATCAATGCAGTAAAACCAGAAATAACATCTTTTTAAAACATGCTTTCTTCTTTCATGTCAAAACCTTACGCACAATGCAACTCAGCCACAGATAGTTTGACTGGAGAGTCAGGTGTGTTATGCTAGTAGCAGATAATGTAGCTTCTCGTAAGGTCTGGGTTTAGTAACATTACTTTTTCCTAACTCCGTTTTTTCATTTTAAAACTTGTGTCACTCTTAACCAACAGTGAGGCATCATCTGAGGCAATTTATCAGATTAAAAGACCTAATACAATCATTTCCATAGATAGAGTTTAAATCCCCAAGACCTGTAAACAGCTATCAAGCCAACACTTTCTAGGAGAATATTCCTGTAATTTTTATTCCAATCCACAGGTACAGTATTTCAGATATGAAAAAGACAGCAGAGACGGGGCTACTGAAGTGCTCCTTGTGCAGCTATTATCATCATAAGAAAAATGAATATAGAGCTTACGATAAATGGGATTAGTGTCTTAACACTTCTCTTTTCTGACATTAGTTTGATCCAACAGTCCCTTACCTCTTCAGGTTATTAAAATGTCCATTGAGGGCATTTGTCTCTTTTGATAATTATAAGCTGACCGAGAAGATCTTCTGTTTAACAATATGATGTCTAAATATAAAGATATATTTTCTCCTGATATGCCTAGTTGTATCTAGCCAAGTTTTCTGCTGCCTGCTCCTCTCAGATCTAAAAAGCTCCAATGACAAACGGGGGTTTGGGGGGTGGGGAGGCTCTTAGAATGTCTAAAGAAGCAGGGAGCACCAGGTGGAAAATAGAAAACAAAGAGGTATTAATTAAGGATGGATTGTACAAGACAAAAAAGAAAGGGTGAGAGAGACCTAAAGAGATACAGAGACACAAATACTATGTCCTGTGTGTCCATGAGAGCTTTGATACAGTCAGACCAGAGTGCAGTGACTGTGAAAGTGCTTAAATAAACACTGCAAGAGAACTGGAACTGAAAATGAGCATATGGGTGGGAGACAAAAAAGCAAAAGAAGAAAGGGAGGCTATTTTTTAAGTGAGGAAGAAGAAAAAAGACCAACACTATGTTTAAGACCATGAAGAGGATGAGAACAAACAAACAAAAAGCCAGATTATGAAAAGCCAAACCACAGAAATGGACTCAGAGGTGGAGCATTTTTTTAAAAAATGGAGGCAACGAAGGTGAAATGGTATAAAAGGTGGTAAACTAGAGGGAAACATAGTGAGTAAATGAGGAGATTGAATCGATAGAAACAGAAGCGATGACTGCCAGAGGGGAAAAACTGCCTCAGGGGCCGCTTCAGCCTTAACTCACATAACTGCTGTGACAGGAAAACCTTTTACTTTCAACCCCAGTAATTTCCATATTTACTTCTGCCACAGTCTGTTCTGTGAGGAACCAGTGTCATCCCTCTAAAACCAAATGACATTTCAAAGAACAAATGGTAGTTTATCAGATAGTGCAGTAGTTAAGAGCTTTTCATCCACCAGGGCTTTCTAATGTTGACTGAGTCTCTTTCTGCTGTAGAATTCCTACAACCAAATAAAAGTATTTCATAAGAATAAACAATGATATCTTACTCCCATTATTTATGAAAGATCAACGTGAAAGGGTATATTGAAGCATATTGCATCATAAAACCATGGTTCAACATTTTGGGAATTACGCTAATTTGCCTTCTTGCCAAAATGATGCAACACCACAGCAAAAGCTCACTAATCAACATGTTATATCTTGTTTCTTTAATTTTGTGCAGAAACAAAAAAAAATGTTTTAATTCCAGTTTTACAGGGAGTTGTGTGCTGTAACTATTTCCTGGCTAACAGTCAGGATTTTGTTGTAGCTTGACTTAGTTATTTTGTGCATTTTAATTATTTTCACACCTCTTAATGATGCACTAATTTATTCACTGAGGAGGACTTCAGATTTTTATGTTATATAGTATGTTTTCTGCTCGACAGCCTGCACTGGGACACTTCAGGTAAAACTGACTTAGGGTACAGTTGTTATTTTCACAACACTAATTAGAAACGCAAAGGCAGAGCCCTTAATATAGAAGAGCTGTGACAGCCAGGGGTCAAAAATGGTAGCGGGTCATGTGACTCACGTAGGTTCAAATAGTTCCAGACTGACAATTAACAGCAGGATTTATCAGCAAATTACTACTTTTAATGACTTAAACAGCCTAACAATCCAACTGTGTGTTCTGCTGTTGTAGATAGCTCAGCTAATTTAGCTCGTTACCTAATTATTACAGTAAAGTGACCCAAAATTGGTGGGAGAAAAGGTTATAGAACATGTATAAATGTTTTGACACGTCACTAACTTAAAATGTCACAAGTATAATTGCTTCATTAAATTCAGATTCTTACTTTAGAAGATAGCAGCCAGGTCAGTGTAACTCTATGGCACTACGCCTGATGTTTGCAACTATTAGACGTTCCCATGATCTGTTATTACTGAAAAAGAGGCTCATAGAGTAAATGGAGATGTCGTCACTCTCCTTCTTAATCCACTCTATACAATTTGAAATGTTATGCTCACACATTTATTTCACAGAAAATTGTCATATCTTTTGTACATGCCCTAACCCATCTATTACAAAAACCTATGGTACCAATACATTTTTGTATTGAATGTATGAACACATTCATACACAAACAATACTACACTGGTGAGTGTGAGGTGTGCCTTTACTTGTGTTTCTGTATGTATGGAGTACCCATGTGTGCATGGGCACTGCTGCTCCGCCTGGCTGCTCTGTCTGTCGTCCCTGGACCAAAGGTCAGCAGCGTAACTGTCACATTTAGTCCATCTCAGGATCTGCTCTGTCGTACAACAATGTTCAGAGGTTCAAGCTCCACTGACGATACTCAACCCTCCAGTGTGGGCTGCATGTCAGCTGGGAGGAGAGTGACAAGGGCGAGCTGAGGAACAGCAGCCGACACAAGGGTCACGGAGCCAAAAGGCTATGAATAGCGCTACTGGGACGGGGAACACACAGGCAGGTCGATGGAGGATAACCAGAGCAGAGGACAGTTTCTCTGGGTAACACTTAAGTCTTGCGTGTGCTCTCATGCACGATCTTGTATTTCTCCCTTCCACACCTGGCTCCACCTTCCTCCACCCCACCTGCCTTTGTTTTCTGTTTCTCACATTGGGTCTCTGCTGCTCGCTCTATTGCTCTGTTGGCTTCAGGCAATTCTGTCCGTTCCCCCCTCTCACTCTGTGATGGAGGGGTGAGTTGTGGAGTGAAGGAGCAATGAAGCGATGGAGGCCTTCAGAATGGAGAAACCACTCCCTTCTCTGTTTTGGCATCTTTTGCACGCCCTGAAACATCTACCCAATTAATCCTTTATTGACTGTATGTCAATGTCAACTTTCAGAACACCACAGCTCACTTGCTTGTCACTAAAGGGTTAGTTCACCCAAATGACAAAAGGGCATATGTTCTCTCTTGCTGCACCGATGTTAAAGGATAATGAAGTAAACATGTTCTATCTCCTGCCTCAAGACCATAGTCTTCTTAGCAACTAAAGCATGGTAAAAGTGTTAATGTTTATGTTTAGTAATTCACCAATCTTAGTTAACAGAGAAAGGATGTTATATTTCAAGAGTGGATACTGTAGAAAAGAAAAATAAAATACATTGCTAGCAAATATTTTACTGATACTGTGTGTTCATCTCAACATTTTGTGACTTCCTAGATATATTAACATTTACCAAGTTATGTTGATATTAAAAAAGGTAAACCAGAAAGCATTATGTCAATGACAAAACAGTATTATACATCATTTCTGAGTGCCAGGATTGCATAAAGGCTACTATTTTGGTTGAAAAATGTTGTAAAAATTAGGGTGGAAGCAGTGAACATCTCAGAACCTGCACAAATAAACCAAAATTGCCTGTATGATAAGACACTGCTAGAGAGTTAGTGAAAGAAATAGCCTGGCAATTTGAGTGAACTAACCCTTTAAAAAGATCTCATCAATACATGCTGTGCCATAGTATAAATAACAAACACAGTTATCTGAAGCCAGGTCATGTGTTGTGTGTGCTCACAAGTCCAGGGGAACATGTGAGTACACAAAAGTGTGTGCATATTGCATGTGTGTGTTTACTCCACCTGTTTGTTTTGCATGACGTGTTATTCACACATTAACCACCGCACTCTGTAGCATGCTACATTATCACCTCACACACCTTAATGAGCCGGTTTTTCATGACTGGACCAATTAGTCTCAGTTATCTGGTCAATTTAGCAATTCTGCTTTCTCCTCAGGGTTTTCAGCTCCTGAAAATCACACTGCCGT